TCTGGTATATGCTGGTGGCATTGCTGAATGCTGACTTGTTCTCCTAGCCAGAGACCTACTTTTGCGGCATAGAGAACTGCTACACCTTTTCCTTGGAGATCTGCTCTTTCTTGGTGACCTGCATCTTCATCTAGTCCTGCTTGTGCTTGCATCTTCATTTGCTCGCTTACTTTTCCCTGTTGTTTTAGATTTAGTTCCTAATGCCTTTGCCATGATGAAGTCATGCACTACTTCAAGGAATTTTTCCATGGTTGCTAGTATATGTAATTCGAGTTCCCACTTCAGCTCACGATGCTTGACACCTTTCTTGGCTACTATGAGTTGTGCAGAGGGATCCGGATAGGGAATCTGTCGTTCCATGTTGAATCTTTAAAAATACTCCCTAAGCATTTCACCAGGCTTCTGTACAATGTTGAATAGGCATGTCGGTGGTTTCGAGTGTCGCATGCTGGAGATGAACTAGTTACTAAAGAGTTTGGTGAACTGGTCCCAGTTTCTGATGGATCCTGGGGCCAACCCTGAATACCACAGCCATGCTTCTTCCTTCAGCATCATGGGGAATGCGATGCACATGCTGGCGTCATTCACTCCATGAAGGAGCATAAGGGCTTGGAAGTTGTTTGCATGCTTTACTGGGTCTGCCTTTCCTTGGTAAGATTCCAAAATCGGAGCTTGAAAGCTTTTTGGGCACAGTGCTTTAAGAATCTCTGGTGCGAGTGGGGTTTCTCGGGTAAGGCTATAGGCTGTTCAAAAAAGGGGGCCATTTTACTGGTCGCCACGTTACTTTTTCCAGGTTGAGCACCATTGTTTGTGCGGACGAGTTGTATTTTTCTCCCTACACGATATGTATGCTTCTTCTTCCTAGTGCACTCAATGAAGCTAGCTTCATTAGTTTCGGCAGGTGCTTCAACTTGGCTTTCTGTGAGCACCTACTTGTTTTGAGCTGTTACTTCTTTTTTGTTCGAGATCTGAATTTGACTACAAATCCATGGGTGAGGTGGGTCTTCTCGGTTCAAATCATTATTCTGTGGAGGGAGTTGTTGATTGCCTTGCAATATTTGTTGACCATCACAAGGAAGTGGCCGATTGGGTGCCATGTGATGTTGTTGTTGGGACTGCTGTTGTTGCTGATACTGTTGTTGTTGTGGTTGTTGTTGAAACTGCTGCTACTATTGTTGAAACTGTTGCTATTGTTGTTGGAATTGTTGCTGTTGTTGTTGGAACTACTATTGCAGTTGTTATTATTGTTGTTGCCCAGTAGTGAAGGCGAACCTGTTTTTTCATGACCGCATGCATTCATTTATGTTGTGCATGCACCATATCAAGTTGTTGAACTATTGTACATCCATCGTTGTGGGAGGTGCCACGGGATCCACAACTGGAGGTGGGGGTGGCATGCTCACATTTTCCTGTACATTGGTGGGCGACAAAGGAACGCCAATCATGCTTGTTGGTACTTGACCATTAACATTGTTGGCTGAAGTATTGCTGAAAGATGCCATCGAAGATTTCTTTGAGGAAAATGAGAAAGGTTAAAGGTGAATGAAGGGAAACATTAGCCTTTTGTTGCATTTCCCACAGACGACACCAATTAGTGAGGCACAAATCTACTCATTGCCTCATGTTCGATGATGTGACTTGAACTAAGATTAGGCCTGACAATGCCGAGTTGTATTGCCGAGCTGAGAATCCAAGGATGAGGGATACTATAGAAGAACAAAAGTTAGAGCGCCCAGGTAGATTTTACCCAGGAGAATGCTCCGATGCTTAAGTCAGTAAGGGGATTTGATGAGGATCTTAGAGAGAGTTCTAGAGCTTCAGTGTGCATACCTTTCTAAAGTGATCTTGGGGTCCTTTTATAGCTATCTGGGTTCGGGTGGTGTCAGGCAACGTCTCTGGGCCTGCTGTAGAGCTGTTTCCACAGTTTAGGGGCATGCTAGGCCGTTAGTTACTAGATTCACGCGGCAGTTACCGGTTGCCCACGTGTCACGGGGATAGTTCTGTAGCGGAAGAAACCCGTGTGGTGTTTAGGCCAAGGTGGGCTAGGACATGCCTTGTGTGTGTTGCTAGGCTAGGAGTTGCCCAATGAGATGGCTCCACCAATGTTAGTAGCAATGGATCATGACCTCAAGGCTCATGGCTAGGGCACTCGATTAGCTCTTGCCGGTCTATGGGAGGCGCCAGTTACATGCTAAAGGGGGATGGCCATGATGTGAGGTGACTTGGCACCGATGTGAAGGATCTCTTGTATGCTAATGATGTAGGCACCCGATGTGTTGCTAATGATAGGCAACCGCTGAGCCGAAACACACCCGTGCGCTAGGGCAACGAGATAGCTCATTCAACTTAGGCAAGGGGCTGGCATAGTGAAGGGTCATGCTTAGGCCAGGCTCGCATGCCAAGCCTCCCTTGAGTATTATTGGCGTAGTGTCGGTCCATGCACTACCCCCATGAGCATGTGTGCGCCTATGAGAAACCCTGGTAGCCATGCTAGCCATTAACTAGGGCCGCCCCACAAGCGATATTGGTCTAGGAGTGCCAAAGTTAGGCACCCAACGAGGTCGACCACCCCTCTTCAAAGAGTACACTAAGCTTTTGGTGGTCTGTCTGAAGATGACATGAGATTTCCCAATAATCTTACTAGCAAAAATGACGGTGATGTCTCTTAATGTAAGCCTGCCAAGCGTAGGCAAGGCTAAGCCTATGTCAAACCGTGACACATGGGTCTTGTGGCGTATGGTTCGATGAGCTGTTCTTATAACCACGGTTACGGTGTTTGTGCGGGCGCAGAGTATGGAACAGTTTTGGGCGAGTTGCAGTTACCGGTGGGCCGAGCTCGCCTTAGCTCGGCCTGTACCTACTATGGATTGCCACGTGCCAATTTGTTAAGCTATCTTGATGAATTGGATGCTATGTTGCTGACAACGCCCATGTGTCTGTAATTGTATAGGGTGACCAAAATGTCCCTCATCATTCTCTATGATGAAAATCACAAGAAAAAGAAAAAGGACTCAATGAACAAGCAAGGACACGTTAATTATGCATTGCAAAAGTTTTAAACCGATGGGTGTTTTAAGCTGGAACACTAGCGATAATGGATTTATCAATTGTGACAAATAAAGTCTAAAAAAAAGGGTAAATTATAAAGGCCCCCTGTACTTTGGGATATGTGACAAAGACCCCCTATATTTTGTTTTGCGACAAAAACCTCCCGTATAATGACTTTGACACAAAAACCTCTTTTTGTTAGTATCGTTATAATATTTTTTAATCCCCATACTATCTTTATAGATGAAAAACACTATTCATCTTCCCCACCCGCAGTAGGGCGGACTTCCGAAGTCCTTGACTCCTCCCTCTCTCTCCCTCTCTCTCTTCTTCCTCTTTCCCTCTATTTACCGTTCCAAAGTCCAAACACCATCTGCTACAGGTCGTCTATTTATTGTAATCCGTTTTGTTTTTCTGATGAGATCGGCTATCAATTTTGATTTGGATGATTCGTTCTTCGAAAAAAATGGTTGACGTTTAGGTGACTTCTCTTGTCCGAGCATGATGAGCAGGGAATTCATAACTCTCCAAGTGCAAACCAATAGAAGCAGCAGCTGTTGGGCTTGGATTTGTCACTTCAAATATAAGGAGTTCACATGGGATGTTTCCCTTCCAAGTTACAGTGAACACGGAAGTATTTGGTACTATAATTTTTTGAAGTATTACAAACCCAAATCAAATGTAAGGTCGTAACCTAAAATCGAGAGATATTAGACGATTCAGTGATATTAACATTGTGTACAGTCAGAGATTCCGTCCCATCCATGTTTACTCAAAAACCCGTCGTCAGTCGTCTCTCCTCCTCGTGTTGAGGGAAACGCGTCCCATTAACACCCACACGCCACACCAATGGTACAGCCTACAGTACAACCAGTCGATGTAGCTTCACCGGGCCCGATGGAAAGAAATTGCCTTATCGAGGAGGGAGGAGGTGGGGAGCTCGGATGATTTAAAAGTTAACGGGGTGTATTGAACGGTTAAAATCCCTTTCTTTCTCTCGTTGTGTCTCCCGGCCTCTGCTCTCCCCTGTCACGAGCTACCACCGTCCACCGGTGACGGTTGCATTGTCGGTACTCTGTCTCTAATTTGTCAAACCTTTTTTTTCTTAGAACGAGTCATCCAAATCAAAATTGACAGTCGATCTCATCAGAAAAACAAAACGGATTACAATTACATGGTGTTGGGACTTTGGAACGGAAAACAGAGAAAGAGGAAAGGGAGGAAAGGGGAAGGGGAAGAAGAGAGATCGAGGGAGAAGAAGAGAGGAGGACTTCGGAAGTCTGACGCCGTTACAATCGTGTTTATGTATCGTGAGGTGGGGGAAGATGAAAAGTGTTTATCTTAAAAGGATAATATGGAGATTAAAAATATTATAACGAGCCTTTTTAAATGAAAGACTAAGGGGTCTTTGTCTCACGGTCATTGTATAAGGGGAGTCTTTGTCGCAAAGCAAAATATAGGGGGTTTTTGTCACAGATCCCATAGAACAGAAGGATCTTTGTAATTTACCAAAAGACCCCGAAAACAATGTGCCATAATAAATAACTAAATGGACGCAAGCATGTAGGTGTGATAAGCAAATTAATTTGCCAAATTGTTTTGCTAACACGAGTTGACTTTCAGATTAGACTAAAAGAAACTTATGCTTGGGGATATTTAAGATGCATAAAGAAACTAGCACCGATTAAAACGTGTCCAAACAAGAACCAAGGTTGCGATTGGAAACAATGCAAATAAGTGTGAATGTAAAGTGTAAAATGGTTTATATAAATTGAAAAATTGGATTAATTTTGCACCCATAAATTTATCTTCGTACCAAATAAATAACCTTTCAGTTGTAATGAATACAAACGTGAATTCCAATAAAGCACGTGGAACACGATTATCATACAGCAGCCTAGAACTTCTCGAATCTCTTGATTTTCTCGTGAAAAAGGGGTAGAGTACCGAACCAAAGCAGGGTGAGAGAGGAACTTTGGTTTCTCTACACGCTAATGGCGGAGAAGGGAAGAGTTTGTGTGACAGGGGCAGGAGGGTTTTTGGGTTCGTGGGTCGTGAAGTTTTTACTCTCTAGGGGCTACGAAGTACATGGAACCGTTAGAGACCCAGGTTGCTTCTTCTTCTTCTTCTTCTTATTTCAGGAAATAGTTCTACTGGCTTATGGTTGGATATGGCTTGAAATAATACTTGGAATGGTTAAATCATGCAACGAAATTTGTTGGGTCTCTTCTCCAACTACGAACTTTTGGTTTCCAATTCATTTTCTTGGTGCGATTAATGAAATCTGTAGATTGTTTAAATGGGTTGAAGCTTCTGCTAATGTTAGTCTGGTTTTAGTTTTTGGTTTGGACCAATACTCCTTTAGTTCTTTCTTTTTTCTTTACGTTTTTTGAGTCTGATATGAATTCTATTCGTTTTTGTATTACTTGGTTAATTGTTTATTTGGGTGAGAGGCTTTACGCTACTAATATGGGTATTCATTCCTTTTTTTCCTCTAGATGCATGGTTGAATTTTGCGGTGAGTTAATAAATATAAAGATTTGTTTTTGTTTTATAATTGTTTGGTCCTTCTATGCCTTTTTTTGAATTAGTACTTGTTTCTTTGTCGTATTTCTCCTCTCTTACTCCATCTGTTTTCTCTTGGTTTTGTTTTGACTATTTAGTTATTTATTTCTTTTACCTGTTGTAGTTCATTGAAAATGTTCGTCTGATACAAACCCTTCCCGTCGCCGGAATAAGCTTGTATCTGCCCTCGAGCTGTAGTGTTGAATCACCGCTCAAAGAGGGTTTCAGCAATCACAAGATCACGGAAGAAGAAGAGTTTAATCGTCCATGGGCGAATGAGTGGCTCTAAATCCACCGTGAAAAGGTGATTGTACCCCTCAAATGTAATAGGAGCGAAAGTTCTGTCCTTAGCTGTAAGGAACCTGGATATAATTGTCTTGCCACCTCATCCTGCACTCGCTTGGTGTCAGGACCACAGGTTTGGGTCTATTGTCTGGTCTGCGGATGCGGACCATGTGGAGATCCAGTGCAGTATTCAGGTGAGGAGGAAGAAATCCGTTTGGTGCAAGTGGTGGTAAAATGGATCCGGTTTGAAGATGCCAACTGACATCCTTGAGAAGGTCAAATGGCCCAAGGTACCCTAGATGAGAGTTTCTGTGAGCGGTAGGTTGCTGTCAAATTTGGTGGGTAAAATTGCAGTCTGAGGGAGATGTTGTCTCCAAAGGCAAAGCTCCTCTCTACTGTTGCTGATTTTCCATTCAAACAATCACTAGAAGAGGGATCAATAGAAGTCATTATGTGGGTAACGTACTCTTCAAGTTCGATTTTCTTCTTCCCATGTTTATCAACTAAGCACAACTCTTGAAGTCACCAAGGGGCGTTCCCTCCCATCACATCCTAAAACTGGAATGAGTAGACTTGGCCTAGTTAAGGTTCAAAATTTCGATATCATACGACCTCATATCCAGTTGAAAGAAATGAATAGATATTCCTTGACCTAGTCAAGGTTCAAAATTTTGGTACGAAATGCTTTGTATTTCGTAACTTGATTCAGGGGTAGACCAGCCTTAGATTGATCCATCTAAACCAGTTTCAAAGAAAAAAAATGGGTGGGTGAGCTTCGATACACCCTTTGTCAAAATTTTAAACTTTGGAAACCTTGGGCCTAATGTAGCAACAACCACTGTATCTGAAGTGCCCCAACCCTTATGATTACAATCCAGTGCAAGCCTCATACTAGCAGCTCTACCTAGCCACGTAGAACTGTAGTCAATACTATCCTCCGTGAGATGTAAAATGATCTATTGTGTTGGTTTTTATTGATCCCTAAGGTTCAGAAATTTCATATCTCTAGAGTTCTTTGGTCTATCAAACTATAATCAATATGATATGAGGCATATCGTATCGTATCTTTTAAAAATTGATAAAGAATATGCATGAAAATCGTGTGTACATATGCATCGGACTCGTATTGGAGGGATATTGGAGGCGTATCGGGGATGCATTGGGGCATATCAACAAAAAAGATATGGCCAAAAACTGAAAAAAAATAAAGGAAAAAAGTAAACTTCTTTTCCCTCATTCCTAGAGTGCTAGATTTGAAAAAAAATTGCAAGAAACAAGTGTGAATCATTAACTTTTTTAAGATTTTTCAAATTTTGAAAAAATATGATAAGAATAGGTAAATTTTTTTTTTAATTTTTTATTATATCTTATGATTTATTCTTTTCTTGAATGTATAAATTTATATTAATCTACATTTCTTACATTCAAAATCATAACTATTTTTTGTGTTATTGGTAGATTTATGAAAATTTCATGAAGATATTTGGGGAAAATATAAATTAACAAAAAGATTGAAAATGTAATTTTATCTCTGTCTATAAAGACTAAATATGTTTTAGATCTATGGATTTATCTATCATATTCATAGAGCAATTGAAATTTCTTCTTTAATAATTTTTTTATTTTTACATTTATAGAATTAAAAATTAATTAATTATATTTTATTATTTGATCACAATGGTTGAATATATTATAATTCTATGGATGGTCTATCATATCCACAAACAAATTGAAATTTCTTCTTTAATAACTATTTTTTGAATATATTATATAATGTTTATTTATTTTTTATATTTTTTGAAAATAAATAATAAATAATTATTAATTATATTTTCACTTATAAGTTGTGCCAATGCATATTTTATGGTTGGACAAGAGAGTTGGGTTTTTCCCATTCCATAAAACATTAAAACTTAAGAATTATAATTTATAAATTATAGTTAAGCATAGGATTTTTAATGAAATTATAATTAAGTACATTATATTTCTTCATAAAACCATTAAAATATATTAATTTAATTTATATATACCTTATTGAGGTCTTATATTTAGTGTTATTGATGTATTTTTATGATTTATTAATGTATTTATAATGTTTCCAAGCGTATCTATGTATATCTTAGTTTTTCTCCGATATGTATGTGTATACAAGGTGTATCTCAATACATCTCTTAAAATTGCCTTTCTAATACACTTGACGTTTCCGATACTTTAAACCTTATGCAACACTCACAACATGCATGACTGTGCGCTTGCCAAGAGTTGGGGTTCCCATACAATGGTAGATGGGAGTCTCATGCATTGAGTAACGACCTTTCCCATCACCTAACATAACTCCAACTCCAATAGTTCCCTGTACCTTGATGTCGACTTTTATCTTCTCTGACTTGCAAAACTTGCATTCTCTAAATTCTGCAGTGTAAAAGAATACAACATGGTCGCCATGTTGAACTTCAGTTATATGACTCACACTTCCACCAACACCTTCAACATTAATTATTGTATCCTTGTGACCAAAGATGCAAGGGAAGAGATCCTCAGAATGTGTGGCACTCCAAATATGAGAGTTGGTACAGTAGAAAGCAGCAGGGGTACCTTCACTCGGACTTCACTGGCCAAAGATGAAGCCACCTGCATGTCTATGCTCACTAATAGCTTGTTTGGTTCCCATGCAATTGCATCCTCATAGATGGTGATCTGACCTTGGATCACCATGAATAGTAAGCACCAAGTGCTATTTGGTCTCATCCTTAAGTGGAATCTTGGCACTACATCCAATAGAACTAGATGGTAATCCATGCAAACCCCCATTCCACATTGTTGAACACCTGTTAGGCAATTCATCGAACAAAACAAGAATGAGATGTAAAGCTTCTAAGTACAAAGCAAACAGTGCAGATTTAATAGTCGGATTTGAGTTGAATTTAAACAGAATCACTATGCGGTAAACTTGAAATCCTTCTCAATAGAACCCTGAATTGATGCAAATAACCAAATTAGAAAAGCAGGAGAGTGTTCATTCTTTTAGGCCTCTAGAATCCATATCTTTGAAGAGGTCAAGGACCAGCTCTGGAAATCCACGACAAACGTAATCAGCCATTACCAAATTCCCCAAGACAATGTCACTGATTTCCATTTCTTCAATTGTTGTAGCCAATAACACCCCATCTAGTGTTACAGGGAACCTTTGTGCTCTTGGCAACTTTCTCAATGCAATGATCATGACAACGGTCAAGTGAGGGCATGGTTGATGCTATCATTGAATAGATGACGATGCTTCTCATGCCCCTCATATCAATTCCCTTGTGCCTCCGATGCCAAATCTTGAGAGCTAACGTACGTCCACACCAGAATAGCTTGACGAGGGCACCCAGATCACTGAGCTTATCCAACAATGAGTTTGTGCTCGTAGTTGCAGTAGGGAAATAGTGGCACCATCTCCATTGGCGGTTTATCATTATGCTTCACCCTGTATTTTACTGGATTAAACTGAACCTTTTTGAAGGCAATAACCCGGACTGATGACAGAGTAAGTCCAGAGGATGTCTTCCCCAGAGAAAGCAAGACAAGAGAAGGACGAAGAGTGAGCGATTTGAGTTGGGTCCATGATCGGTGTTAGTTCCTCCTGGTGGGAAGAGGAAGAAGGAATGGGATGTAGGGCTAGAGTTTATGCCACCGAGGGATGTGAAAGAGGGTTTTGGGTTATGCCCATAGCAAACTGGGTGTTTGACACTAGAAACAGAGGAGGGTAGGAAACTCCAGGGCGGCCCGTGAACACCAAGCACCATTATTGGTGATGTAAGAGGACTATAGGTGGTGACAAGGAAGATAAGTGGGATGGAGAATAGAACATGTGAAGGTGCTAAGTTGATGAGGTCTGGATGGATGTGCGCCCGTTTGCTTTCAGGAGCGACTGGAGGTTGAGCTGAAGAGGCAGACATGAACAAGGTGATGGGTGGACTGTAGTTGGAAGGCTGGTGAGTCTTGAATTGAGAGGCAAGAGTATTCACACTGCTATTTTGTCCCATTGCTGCTGGTTTGTGGGTGATTTGCAACCGCAGGGCTCCTGTAAAGGCTCGTATAATCATTTTTAATGAATTCCAGTTGATTCTTTTACAAGAATTTCTTCCATTGAATCCTTAATTTTATGTCTTTCTACATGTTTTGTGGAGATATACCATTTCTTAGAGATGGAGTGACGTATAGAATTCCCAAAGAAAGTGCAACGATAAGAGCCTATACACCTAAACTAAAATGCACTTTCAATAAACAAACCGAAATCTGTATGAAGCTCTGCAGTTCAATGTCGTGTTAGACATTAAAATTCCATGTCAACTGTCGAAATTTATATTCGTGTATACCTATGAATATGATTTCATTTACAGGCATGTGTTCAAATTATTTTGAAAAGTTTCCTGTGGTGGGCATATTTTAAGAAATTTATATTAATTTATCCAAAATCTATTTCAGGACATGAAAAGAATGCTCATCTGAAAAAACTGGAGCATGCTGCACTGAATTTGCATCTTTTCAAGGCAGACTTGCTGGACTACGACTCACTTTGTGCAGCAATTGCAGGATGCAAAGGAGTATTCCATGTTGCGAGCCCAGTTCCATTAGGAACTGTATCAAATCCAGAGGCAAGAAAATTTCAGTTCAAATATTTCCATGTGCCCACTATATAGATTATATCTTATTGCTATGGATCTTGAAATTGGAATACGTACATTACTAGAAAATTTGTTAAAGAGAAAAAAGATTACAGCAGAAGGTGATAAGACATCACCTAGAGCAAGAAGCATCCACAGGAAACCCAAACAGGCCTAAGAATATTACACCTCACATGCAAAATAAAACCCAAACAGACTCTACAAAAAAGAAACCGTATACAAGACCCCATTAAAGCCGAAACCACCGCCCAACTCTAAACAAAAGCAGAACCTACCTAGTTTCCAACGTCAGTCTTTATCTGTAAACTCATCCTCTTGATTTGTGAATTCCTCATCCCAGACCTTGCTCCCTGCTTTCAAATGCGCTTTGGTCTTCAATTTCTCTTCCTCTTTCTTTCTTTCAAATTCTTCAAAAGCCCTCCTAGCAAATTCCTCACTGCCCCACTAACATAAACCCAAGCTTTTCCCAATTGCGACCTCCCTATCAACTAATTTTTGGATAGTCACCTTACCTGTAGCTTTATCAGCACTTTCATTCTCCTGTAGTAGCTGCATTGCACCAGATTCTGATCTTCCTTCTCTTCCATTTTGTCCCTTCGACCCAGATCTACACCTAGCCTTCCAATCTCAGCCTCCTGATAAAGTAAACCATCTTCATCCTGGCACTCAGGCTGTCCACCGGAAGAATCTTCAACAGCTAAGTCGTCCTTTTCACCAACCTTACCTCCATCATTGCCTCCAGTTTCTGACTCAGCATTAGGGGTGGCAATTTTTCACCCAACCCACCTAGAATCTAATCCACCCAACCCACCTAGATCCTAGGCAGGATGGTTCGGTACCGCTTTCTTTGCCTGATTCGAGTTGTCCAGTCCAACTAGTATTCACACAACCAACCGACCCGGTACAAGCCGATCTGAGTCAAGCTGAATCTGAAATAGATCCTAGGTAGGATGGTTCAGTACCGCTTGCTTTGCCCAGTTTGGACTGTCCATCCCGACCAATGACCCTACCCGAATCCGGGGTCAACCCGATTTACTTACATTGACCCACTTTGAGGCAGTCAGTTCGGTCCCAAACCCGTGCACAAACCTGATATGGGCCGATCCAAGTCAATCCACCATTGACTGAACCGGTCCAATCCGATCTAACCAGACTGATCTAGATCTAAACGGTTCAACCACCCCTATGTGATTAGCTCGAAGACAGTCCAATAGATAGTTCAAGTTGGTCTGACCGGTTTGAACTTAAGTGGTTCGGTCAAACCTGAAATCCGGGCATAATCAAATGGCTTTGCCGCTTATGTTAAAATAACATGCATCTAATGTGATTTGAACCTTCACCACTTGTGTAAATAGTAACTACTATTACCACCAAGCTATGACCAACTTATTTGTTAAGAGAGAGTTTGTTTTTTAAGTCCATAAATATAAGATTAATGAGTTTGGATGATTGAGTTAAAGCGGGTTTGGGTTTAACCCAACCCATTTAATTTTATATAATTGGATCATTAATGGATTGGCAGGTTAGATGGATTGGATTGAAACTCAACCTAAACCAAACCCAACTCAACCCGTCCAATTGCCACCACTACTCAGCATCGTGCATTGATACCAGCAATCTCTTTCCTAGTTGTTGCCTCCCCATTTCCAAATTCTCCAATTCAACGGGAGCTTTCTCTTCCGCACATGAAGAATCTGGACATTCCAAGTCATACCTATCCTCTGAGGATGCCAAACTCAAGATCTCAGACTAATAGGGAACATGATTCTTGTCGGAACCCCTCATGACCTCAGTGTAGCATCCGGCATCACCAGACACTGACGAGAGAGGACGGTCGATGAGAGTCTCTCCTGTGTCAATAACAAACCTTTCTTATCGCATTTGTCAATGTCAAACCTGGCAATCACCCAGACCCACCTCTCCTCCTCTCTTTTTCTAATCTCAGACGAGATAATTCTTCTCATCCCTCCCTTTCTTTTCAAGTTAGATTTTTTGGGCCTTAGCTGCTTCCTCCTATTTTCTTTTCTATTTCTAGACTGAACTTCCTTCCTACGAATTTGCAAATCTTTACTAGTCGAAAATTCCAGGCCAGATTTCTTAATTGAAAGACTCAAAGGCTGATTGTGGAGACCCTCCTACAACCCTCTGGCCCTTGTGGAGACACTCCTACAACCCTCAATCTCCGAATCACCAGGGATCTTGCCTTGAGTTGAATAAGAGGATTTAAATCCCCTTTGCCTTTGGACCTTTCCTTTCGAAGCAATTAGCTGACGTGGCTCTACCCTTAATGATCTCTGCGTAAGACTTTTTTTCCTACACTTAGATCTCCACTTTCAAAAATTTGAACTATCACCATTCTTATCCAGAGACTTACCGACTAACCCGCATGGAGTCTCTTCTTCTTCGTTCGACGCGTCTGGATATTATTCAAGACCTTTTGGGATTGGTCGAACTCTTTATTCCACGTGTAACCCAACCTTCAATGATGTCGACATCTTCTTCCTTAGAACCTTTCATCCATGAAGTCGTTTCACCTTCCAACAGAACCCAAACCTTAAGCCAGCAGCCATTAATGAGCATCTCTACGCATCTAGGAACTTGTTCGAGCTTCAGACCCTCGACCCTTACTCTTGCTGCACGAAGATCTTGGAGATTAAAGATTATCAACAAATCACCTAAGACTTGGATCAATTTTACCAGAGTTTCCTCATTCCAGTAGTTGAAGGGAAGCCCTACCAGGTGGAGCTCGAGAGGACTTTCTGAGATGTTATTCTGATTACAAAACGCAAACCAGTTCTACCCTTACTCTTCCAACTGGAGTTTCCGCCATCTCAGCACTTGTCATTCCAGTAGTTGCAGTTATATACATCTAGGATTCCATCCTTAGGATAACAATTATTCTTAATGAGATGAGATCTGTTGTATTATCTTTATTGGTTGTTATCTAGGACTCTATCTAAGATAGAGTTTTCCCTTTGTAGAACTCTTCTATTATAAATACAATGCAAGGCCTCCCAGCAATGACCAATTCATTGCACCAGCAGCTTCAGTTCGGCCTCCCAGCAATCATCAGGTACGTCAGCTTCCAATAATATGGCTGGCTCGAATTTGGTTCCCCACAGTGGGATCCATTATTTCCCTATCAAGCTCTCCAATGACAATTACCAGATTTGGAAGGCACAACTACTGCCAGTTTTCTACACCAATCGTCTAATGGGTTATGTAGACGGTTCTATTGTTGCACCCCCTTAGTATATACCGGGTTTGGCTGACGGAAGTCGGATGATTCTCAATTGGCTATAACAATAAACATAAAGGGTACGCTGTCTGCATCCTAAGACTGGAAAGGAGTGCGTCTCTAGACATGTTATCTTTGATGAGCAGAAGTTCCCAGGGTGCTCTGTGATTACTCGCACTGCACCTGACTCCTCTACTGGGGTAAATTTGCAGCCACCGCCATCACCTCCAAATCCCTCTTCAGCTTCTCCTCTAGCATCCTCAGTTATCGACTCTCTGTTATAAGGAGGTCCGAACTCACCATCCCCCCTCATAGCAGTACTCCGTTGGCTCCTTCTTCTTTAGAGACAACCTCTCCTACGATCGGACTGGTGTCTCCGGAAGCGTGTCGTTAACCAGTTCGGAACACCAGTTTTAATATCTATAAATATTTTTTCTAATTCTCAAACAATTACAAATGCAATAAATGGTGAAAATGGGTTGTATCCATAGGGAAGCATAGGAAAAATCATTATTTACTTAAGTCTGAGAAAGATAACACAATTGAGAGTTGAAGAAACACAAAATTTAATTAATTAAACTGAAATTCAATAAAATAAAATTCGAATAGTGCTGAAAGTGAAAAGTGCAGAAAAATAAATAAATAACAAAAATAAAAATAAAAGGAACAAAATAAAAAGTCAGTAATCCAATCAGAGTTAGCAGTCTTTGGATCTCTCCTTTGACCCTCAAACTTCCCGAGCTGGGCCTTCCGTCTTACATGACCGAATTCCAGATCTGCAGAAAAGAAAACAAAAATCAAACTGAATGAAAGTAAATTGCAGAAAGGAAATAATAGAACTAGAAATGAAAGAACATAAATTAAATCTAAGACTACTGGTTGGGATCCGAATCCAGAGGTTGTAGTAGTGGCTTAGGCGAACTACAAGCATGAACCCCTCCTCTTGCTTGGGAGTCCTCTTCCTCTACCCTTAAATTTCTCAAGATCAGCCTTCCGTCTTACCTGGGGCCAGAATCGAACCCCTTCTCAGGAGCCCTTGGGTCCTTTTTATAGAGAAGGGCGGATAAAATTGGCTTTAGAGAGAGAGGGGGGCGACAACTGGGTTTTAGCGAAGATCTAAGCGCCCTAGGATTTCTAATGAAGGATTATGATGGTTTAAGGTGATCCTAAGGCTGAGAAGAAAAGGAGAGGGCGCCCAATATTATGTAGGGCTGAGATTTAGGCGCCCAGAAATGGATGGTGGAGATTGATATGCCTAGGGTTGAAAGGAGTGGGTGGCGCCGTAGAGTGGAAGGTTGAGATAGAGAGTGGAATAGAGGGTTGAGATAGAGAGTGGAATAGAGGGTTGAGATCTAGTGGCTAAAGGCTGAATGGTGAGGACTAGAACTTAGGTGGCGCCTAGGGTTAGAATGCTTAAAAGAGAGTGCCCTAGATTGAATATGGTGGAGAATAGAAGGGATGGAAGGTGGAGATTTAGTAGATAGAGGCGAGTAGGGTTTGTTAAGGATGAAAAGAATGAGTTAGAAGGCGCCATAGGGTTTGCTAAGGAGAGGGGAGCATGCTAATACAATAGGAGGGGCGCCATTATGGATTTAGCATATAGGAGGCGCCCTCTTGTGCTTCGTTTTTCACAAAAACACCCCCTCTCTCAGCTGAATTTCACACCAACTTCCCAAAAACTATATTTTAGCTTTGAAACTCCCTAGTTTTTTCCAAGATTTGCACAGAGACT